ACTCTGAACCCCCCAAACCACCGAGACCAGATCCAATGCAAAAGCAAGGAGTTAACTTGGGTTCTCTGTCCATTTGACATAGCAGGTGAAGTAGGAAGGACCCCGAGGAACAGTGGAGCAGGGCATATATTGGGGGTAGAGCAAGGGAAGGGGGATGGAGGGTCTGCTAGTTGCACAGTAACAGTCTCGGAATTGGTGCACATCTGGGCTGGGGGAATCTGTCCTGTGTTGATTGGTCAGCTGCTACTGCAAGAAAGGTTGCTACCCCTAGAGGTCATCCAAGGGCCATTGCTACCTACTATACTCGACTTTTATCAGTAATCTGGGCAAGGTTGGGCAAGGTTAGGGACTCAGTGCATCCTGCTGAGTCAGGGGCCTGCATCTTGCTGGGTCTTTTCTGCAGCCTGTCATGGCTGCTGAAGCAAGGGGCTAGGGAGGGTCTGGGCCCTTCAGAAACAAGGACCAGGGTTTGTACCATGACACTGGGATAAGTCTTTCCCAGTTGGTTAGGAGATGTCTGTTTCTGCCAGCTCTTGATGAAGGACTGTTTGTGCCATTGCAGTGTTTTTCTTCCTTCTTGACAAGCCATGCTCTAAGTGCAAGTGACAGATGCTTCTTTTATGCGTCATATTTAAGGGTGATTTATGAATAAACATTAATGAAACTGAAGTTCTACCACCTTCCATTATTTTCTACCACCCTGGTTATTTTTCAGAGTAGCACACTGCAGCCCACCTTTTCTCTGTATGAACTAACAAAGGCAAATCTATACATTAGCATGCATTTTCATCTTTCCACTCAGGATTTACCTCACAGTCTCAAGTTGGCAGTTCCTGTTAAATGGCATTTAGCTTAAGCTGCATTTAGGGTTACTAATTCTCTGCCAGTCTGCACATATGACACTGAATTGGGTCTGAAAGCTCTCAATTTTTCTTTTGCTTCATGCAGTTGTGGTGTGCTGGTATATTGTCCTGTGGGATGGGATATGCTGTTAAATAGACAGACACTTACCAACCCAGAGCCAGATTTGAGACAGGGTCACTCACCACACACAGGCTGTTTCTAAAGCATTTCCATTCACTCAGTGACTCAGTCTTTATTACAACTGTTGTCACAGCCCTTTCACAGAGGAACCACAGGGAAGTTAAGGAATTTACCGAAGAAGTCCAAGGGAGGAGTGGAGCCAGGATTCAAGGTTATGCATAACATGGCTCCAGTCTGTTTACCTGAAATGGGGGTGTCTCAGCCAGTAGAGAGTGTATCCTTCCTACTCACATGTGACGAGCTTTTACAGTTTATGTAGGCTGTGTGGGTGCTCTGCGCCTCTGTCATTGACTGCATCCCCAGCAAGATGTCTGTAACAGCATTGTGAGAATGGAATGAAGGAATTTTCCCAACCTGATGCTTGTTACCACTTTTAGATGGGTTACTGCTAATGGATGTTTATTATTCTGGTTTATTATTTATTTATACTTTTTGAAAGTATGCTAATATTATTTCTTAATATAATCAATATTTAATAAAACATTTTAAGAGGAACATGTTACAGATATTGGCTTTAATACAACCTGCCTTACAATATCCATTCAACAGGGTGTTAATAAAGAGAATAAAGAGACAGACCTCTTTATGGAAAGAATGAATTCACTACAATAGAAGGTGACGACTAAAATCCTGAAACCACCATGAAGAGAAACACATTTTAAAACTCAGGCTTAACATGAACAATTATCCATCAAGTATTCTCACTCCAAACTCAATTTATAAATGTAAAGACAGAGTAGAAAGAAAAAGCAGGGAAATATATTGACCAAAAAGATTAAGAAAACCAAAATGATGAATATTGCCCTTCAGAGTTATCTTGTCATACCAACATTTTTTACCTAAGATATGTCGCTTTTACTGGTTTCCCATTTAAAGTCATATTACAATTGATAACAGAGCTTATTGGAAATGCACTCAAGTTTAATTTTCCCATAGCCTTGCCTGCTACCTAATTTAAAATAACAAAAATCAAAATATTAAAGATGAGATAATAAAATGAAAGCCTTCCTATGGGAGATTCACACACACACCTTCTCTACAGGGAAAAGCAAATAAGCTAATGAGGATTTGTCGCTTAATTTTTAATGCCTAAGTTTCTCTGAGCACTGGGGACAATGAATTTAATATAAGTTCTAAACAGAGATACACCTGTCCACCTTACCTGGATGCCTCTTCCCACCTCATTTTGAGTGTCTCTCTTCCTGAGAATTCTCTTGTGGTACAGTCTCAGGATGCAGTGATCTCTCCAGCCACTCTTTGGTTCCTGTAGGCTTTCTAAAACTGTTGATAAGGCAACAGTCTAGAGAACTTTTAGATGGCACAAATTCTTAAGAAACAGAGAGTTACTATAACAAAAGTTTGCTAAACCGAGGGATGGAGGTTTCGGAGTGTGTGGCCAGACCACGTCTGTGAGGCAGCCAGCATCTCATCACTCACAGCTTTTCCGGCCACACACAGCAGCAGCTCTGGGAGCTGGATGTTAACACAATGATAGGATCCTGGAGCTGGAAAGATGTAGAATGCTTGCCTGGGGAAACATGGCCAGATAACACAGTGACACTAGAAACTGAACTGTGATCTGTTCCCCTCAGAGTTGTCCCTGCTCTGGGGGTTCAGCTGTAGTTGTTTCCATCAAGATTAAGTATCTGGCTTTGACCCATGGATGTGTCTAGGCTAGGAGGATTCTGACTCAGGAGTCCTTATTTCTTGCCAGATTGAAAGCAACCTACACTACCACAAGACCAAGTGCCTTGTAATGAAGTTTTGAAAAGACTATTAGGTTAACTAAATCAGATTACTGCTCATAATGTTGATTGATGATTAGAGATAATGCCCTGGCTTTAAGGTGGCTTTGACTTCCAGGCTCTACCCCATTCATTTTTATTTGCTTATTTTGTCGGGGGTAGTGGGTGGGGGGATGATGGTGAGAGAGGTGGACATACTTACTTTGGGTTTTGGGATCATACATTCTAGTATGTTACAGAGAGGGGACTTGTAGGTTTTTTAACTATTCTTTATTAAAGTAAGAGGAACTGTTGTCACAGATGCCATTTATTTGTACTTATTTTTAAAGTAGCTTGATTATTAGAATTTGGAAGGCATACCTGACATATAGTATATTATTAAATGACCTCAATGAAGTCCTTTGGTAGCCTTCTTATGGCCACTTATGGTGTCATGTTTGTACAAGAGCCATCTCTCTACCCATGACACCTCACACAGTATCCTATACACTAGTGGGTAACACTGGGCAACAGACCTGCTCTTATCTTCACACAGCGCATTTTCAACACTAAGAAAATAAATGAACACCAATAAATAAAAAGTTTCAGAGCTCTCCTTCCCCATCAGTATTTTAGTGAGCCAGTTACTACTTTTATACAAGGTCTGCTTAAAAGCCATCCTAACTACTGCTGATCAGTCTAACTCTCTTTCCCCTTCTCTCCCACAACATGCAAGCCTGAAGGTTGTGTTTCTGCACCTGTTACCAAGTGATGAGCTTTCTGTCGAGACTATTACCTATTTACAGTCAGATTTACTCACTCCTTAAGCTGAGGGAAGCAGGTCCAGCAGTCATCGCCAAAGGTCCAGTCGAGAGTGCAGGACCCTGTGTTAGTCTCCATGGGGACAACTTCCGGCCAAAGCCTGAAGCCGCAGATAGAACTGAACCCAATTTAGACTTTATTGTGCACACATAAATCACACATACATATGATGAAATTTAATTTATAAGTTAGGTCCAGTAAAAGATTAACTATAGCCATAATAAAATAGAATTATAACTATAAACTATAATGAAATTTATTCACAATTTGTGAATTTCTTATTTCTTGAATTTCCACTTACCATATTCAAGGTGAACTTGCCTACAGGTGCTTGTAACTTCAGGAAACACAACCATGACTGTAGCTTTCTTTCTAATATGTGTAAGGCTGTGCTCCATTGCAAATTTTGCCTTTTTAATGACATGGTGGTTGCTAGTAGAACCCTTGTACCTTTCAGTAGTTCCCTGACTCATTACTGCTAATGGATCCCCGGTCTGTTGTGAAATTTCACATTCAGTTATTTAGGATAGCAAGTGAATCAAGATCTAAAGTTTCTCCACTCCCATCTGGATGGTGGGACTTGGACCACTTCCTTCAGAAGTGAGAGGATGCTTGAAGCTGAGTGCCCGGCTTTCATTCCCAAGCAAACAGTCTCACCAGCATTCAGACTGTCCTGATTCTAAATATCTGAGTTGGTCTTAAAATAAGAAGATGCTTCATTTTAAGTTTTTATTTCACCAGTGCTTTTGTGGAAAAGTTAGGACAGGTTTATTCATTTTTAAGTATTAATTTTAGGATTCTAAAAGCGTACAAATGGCATTTGTCTTTGGATTCACAAAAAAACTCTAGATATGCAGATGTGAATTATTTAAACTCCCACAACACATGCACTTTTGCTTCTCAAGCATGAGTTATAATTTAATTAAAAACTTCTGGTGCATTGGTCGTGTTTTAAATATTAATATGTTCCATGGATCACTTTCGATTATCTACTGTCTTGAAATTCTTGAAGATGTCAGATTTTTAAGATTCCCAAAGTCGCACTTGGAATTGTCTGTTGAGGCAAAGGGGACTGTGATAATTACACACATCCATTAAGATTAGCAGAGGAGATAAACTTGGGGGAGGCTTAATGGGCCTGTCTCAGTGACAGCTAGCAAAGAGCATTTGGCATGATTAAGGATGGATTTGACTGTGGTTCAAAATCCACTCTCATTATGGACACCCAGTGGAAGTTGCACCACAAATACCAAATTCCCCAGAAGAAGAGTGGCAAGGCAGGGAAGCTTTGAAATCCACTGTGGCCGTCATCCAAATTATTCTCTTCCTACTCTGTCTTTGCATTGTCAGAATCACTTTGTGATGCCCAAGTTTCAGAGAAGGGACGACCTGTTGATCTCTGTGTTTCAGATCATCCGCAGATACATCAAGGACTGGCTCGAAAGAAAGAAACCCCCGTTCAGTGCCGTCAGCAGCAGTGTGCTCCTCATGATCATCTACACCACCTTCTGTGACACGTTCTCCAACCCACACATCGACCTGGATAAGTTCAGTCTGGTCCTCATACTGTTTATAAGTGAGTGATGGCAGGGCCTGCTGTCCCCTGGCCTCCCACGCAGTGTTGTGAAGCAGTCCCATGCTCTTGGTCTTATATACGTTATTTAGAAAGACATCAGACCTACATTTGTGATCTTAATCTGCTTTGCTTTTATGTTCCAGGCACCACTTTCTGATCTACAGTAATTTGTGTTAGATAAGAGAAGCCGTAATATGTGTCAAACTCAACTCAATATGTGTCACAATTCAATAAGTCACCAGCTTAAGTTAAACTCTTACAGTGATTTCAAAAAGATTTGTGACATACAATGTTATTGTACACTGATAGCAATTCAGCCACATTGGATAATATATAAAAGTTTCCATCTTAGATTCTAATGAAGTTTGTATAAATGGCTCTTTATATAAAGAAGCAGCATACTCTCAATACCAGGAACTGCTAAAGCTTAAAAAGCAACTTTGTATTCTAGTTGTCTTGTAATGCAAAGCACGACTTTTATTAATATTATAATAACAAATAATCTCTTTTTGACATCGACGTGAGTTGTTTCAAGGTATCCATTGTGTATGCATTTATGCTGTTCAGCTCCTAGAATAAGCCAGCTCTTTTAAATCATACAAATGATATCATCAAACCTAACCCACAGGGGTTCTAGATCTTCCCAAGTGCTGACGTCATAGGCTGTGTCCAAGGAGAACAGCTTAAGTCCGATCATGTATGATTCATTAGTTTAACAGTCTATGTTGGTTTAGTTGGTTTTCATTTCAAACAAGCTTTATCTTGAGCTCAGCAGGCTACATACAGACTTTCATGGTGCCAATTCCCATTCAAGCCACTGTCTTGTTTTGTCTTTTCCTCAGTAGTCTCCGTTCAACTGAGTTTCATGCTTTTGACCTTCATCTTTTCAACACGGTAAGTGATTTGGTATGTCCTAATAGCCTCGTTATTTGGCTACTGTGTTGCTATGATGTCCTATGCTTCCTCCTGTCTCATGACTATGTTCTCTCAGTTCTGACTTTCAAGCTGTAGACATCACCAAAGGGTCTGTGCTCTTGTGTTTACCCAGCCCCTTCCATTCTCCTAGCCTAGGTGGAAGCTTCTGTGGACACTTTCCAGTTGAGACTTTCTGGCTAGGTTTTGTCCTATGTACCAGCAATATTATTTACCTTACCATGTAGATCTAGCCCCTACCTGATACTTGAAATGGAATTGATCTTTTTTTTCTTTTTTCTGAAACCTCCTCTTCTTCCCTTATGTTTAAATAGAATACCTACCTTAGTTAGGATTCTATTGCTGTGAGGAGACACTGTGATCTTGGCAACACTTACGAAGGAAAACATTGTATCCGGGTGGCATCTTACAGTTTCAGAGGTTTAGTCCATTTATGATCATGGCAGAACATGGTGGCATGCAGGCAAACATGGTGCTGGAGAAGGAACTGAGAGATCTACATCTTGACCCACAGGCAGTAGCAGGGATCTGCCACACTGGGTATGGCTTGGGCATATATGAGACCTCAAAGCCCACCCCCATAGTAACACACTTCCTAATAGTGCTACTCCCTATAGGTCAAGCATTCAAGCGCATGAGTCCATGAAGGCCATCCTCATTCAAACCACCACAATACCTTTCTAAATAAATTCATAAACAGTGTGCCTTGATCAGGTCCATCCCTTCCTCCTGCCCTCCAACAGGCATTCCTAATACGTTGTCCTTTGGGTTTGTGTAACCCATTGAGTCCAGTTAGTGCTGGTTTTTGGCATGTTGGAACATCTATTGACTTGATCTTATGCAACCATAGCTTCAGGGAGGTCATGAGTACAATGGCTATTCCATGACCAGAAGAAGCGAGCCTTCACAGAGCCTCTTCCGCTCTTACATTTTCCCCACCTCTCTTCTGAGAGCTCCCTAGAGCCCTTATTATTTTTTGTTTGTTTGTTTATACAGGGCTTTACAATGCAGCCTTGGCTGGCCTGGAATTCATATAGACTAGGCTGGCTTCAAAGTCCCAGAGGTACACTACCACACACAGCAATTTTCTATTTTTAAAGGAACATCCATTCCAGAATTACTCAAACTGGAGTCCTTAACATTGTTATTTTGTAGATAGTCGCCTGCTTCTGTCATATATATTCTATTCTTAAATCCACTTCCCTCATCAGGCCCTAGCTGCACTTCTAGCCTCAACTTTTCTCAAATATTTCTTTTGGTTTCCAGTGACTTGAGGTCCTGCTAACCACATTCTTGTCCCAGTGTCCCCAAAGCTTAGCCAGGGCCTGCAAAATGCACTTCATCTTGTAAGTCTGTTTCACGATTGTGAGAGAACATATATTTTCATGCTGTCTAAGCTTCAAGTTGAGGAAAATCTTTCTTGTTTCCTAGAACCACCTCATGTTTTCTCATTCCTGTCCCTTGTTGAGGCTGTCCCTATGTGTAGCTTGGTCTTCATGTCCTACAACATCTTTCCTACTGTGTGTGTGTGTGTGTGTGTGTGTGTGTGTGTGTGTATGTGTGTGTATAAGATGTTTCACTATATCACTATATAGCCCAGGCTGACCCGATGCTCACTATGTAGCCCAGGCTGACCCGATGTTCACTATGTAGCCCAGGCTGGCTCAGTGCTCACTATATAGCACATGGTAGCTTTAGACTAATGGCAGTTTTCCTCTTTCGGTTCCCCAAGTGATAGGATTACAAACATGCACCACCATGTCCAGCTCATCCTTCCTGTTCTTAAAACTTACATTAAATGCCTCTTCTGCTGCTGGAATCATTCAGTACATATCACTTAAACCTGGGGAATGAGAAAGTCATCAGAGTCAATGTCTAAAATAAGAGATAATTCTAGTCTTGCATGAGTTTATAGAGCAAAGATGTGACCTCTAAGGGTACATTTGGCTAACCTGGAGTCAGACAGTAGAAAGCCCTATCATAGAGTGGTTGGGTTGGCTTCATGGGAGAGGCCATAACGAATGGCTCTTCTGTGAGAAGCAACAATGATACCTAGGTTGGCACACATACATAGACAGGGTATGATGGACAATGGCAGAGCAAGACTCAGAGGGGCACTAGTTCTGGGAGAGGTGCACTGGCTCAGGTTTCCAGGCCTTTGGGCTGCTGGCGTTTGTTATGAGCAGTTTCCCACCAGCCTGGTCCCACAGCCACATCAGCCCCAAATAATACACACTGTATTAGATATAATTAGATATAATACAGATATAAAACAGGCTGTTGGCCTGTTACTAGCATTTCTTATTAGCTAGTTCTGTCTTAAATATTAACCCATTTCTATCAATCTAAGTTTTTCCATGTGGTCTCATCTTACTGGAGAAAGGGTCCGGACCTCTTCTCTCGAGTCTCTATATCTTGAATCTCTTTAACTACATCTCCCAGAACCCTCCTTGTCTCCTAGTCCCTCCTATATTGCCTTCCTATTTACCAACAGTGCTTTATTCATTAATCAGTAAGGGAAACATTAACAAAATGGCATGTCCCATCAGGTGTTGAAACTGGGTTCCCACAAGAAGAGAGGATGGGCTCACACGAAACTTGAGGCTCTGTCAGGTTTGTGAGTGGGGAGGTTGGGGCCTCAGTGAGGTTTTTGGCTCTTGGAACACTTGGTTTAGCTGATTGTTCAGAGTCAATAAAAATGAATTGATTGCTATCATTTGTAGCATTTTCCTAAAGTTAAGGTCATGACTAGAATAAAGCCTGGAGCAATCAAGTCACAGGGGAAAATTTGTTTTGCTGTTCCCTGTGGCAGAGGTAGTTCTCGAAGGTAATCATCTTGTCAGATGCTATAATTTGTAGATGTCCTGTTAGTGACTGAACATTCCCTTGAAAACCATCCTAGTTTTGTTTGCTGTTACTGTGGTAAAACAACCTGGAAAAGCAACACAATCAAGAACCAGTTTATGTGGCTCACAGTTCCAGGTCTAGCACTGCAGGGAAATCCAGGTGGCAGGAACTCGAAGCAACTGGGCACATTACACCTACAGTCAAGAGCAGAGAGCAGTGCACCGATGCACGCATGCCTGTGCTCAGCCAGCTTTCTCTACTGTATACAAGCCAGACTCACCTGCCCACTCTCAGTGGGCGGATCTTCCCACCTCACCCACCGCCACAGGCACACCCATGGGTCATTCTCCAGACAGCCCATCCTTGAAACTCCATTCCTACATAATTCTGAATTGTGGCAAGCTCACAATTAAAACCAATCATTAGTAAGCATAGATGATGGGGATTCACTCCTGGGCTTTCTGGTGTTCTGGAAGGAGGGATATTGTGACTAATTTAAGTAAAACCCACAGTCACTGGTGTGCAATAGATGACCTTTCATTAGGACCTTGTTCTTGAAACCCTGCTTCTGTACCATGTTCAATTGTGCCTTGAACTTTTTCCCTACGCTGTCGCAGACATACACATTCTTTGGCAAATCATACTGTGGAATAATTGTAGCTATTGCTGTGGTGATGGGAAAGGGCCAGGTGCTTTAAGCCCTAGAGAGTTTCTTTGGGTCCACCTTGAACAGCATCTTGCCAGGCTCTGAGGACCCATCAGGTGCCACCTAGATCATCAAAAGGTCAGAAACCACACCTATGCTCCAGGGTAATGGTCCTCTAGCCCAGAAATAGTCTGTTGAAAATTGTGCATTTTTCAATGAAATAAAATATAGGAGATGGCTTTCATGCTGTTTTCTTCCTGAGAGATCTCATAGTTCCTAAGGGTCTGACTGGAGGAGGAAAGAGCCTGCCCCACGCCGGCCTCTGTCTGTGGGAATGTGCTATGGTGCTAATTTATGTAAATTGACCATGGTTTGATGATATTGTTACATTTCATTGCTGTTTTTCAGAGGGGGACCCATATTTACAATTTAATTTAGGAACTTGCCGAAAAATCAGATAATCCTTTTAGGTACTATACCTAGAATTAAAATCTATTTCCATTTCATACTTACAGAATGCCTTGCTCATTTACCATTGCTCTAAAATGTATTTTAATTACGTTCAAAATTCATAATACTGGGGCAGGAGAGATGGCTTAGCAGCTATGACCGTTTGCTACTCTTGAAGAGGACTGGAGTTGGGTTCCCAGCACCCACATTAGGTGTGTCCCAACCACCTGCTACAAGGGATCTGATGTCCTCATCTGGCCTCCTAGAGCACTGTACTCAGTGTGCACATACCACACACAGAAACACACATACAAATAATTTAAAGTAGTAAAAGTAAACCTTATAATTGATAATACTTGGTTCGCTTAGAGGACTTGCAAAGAATGTTTAACTGAGTTCTTCAAGTTCACACAGATACACACAAAACATTTGTTCCAGGTACCAGGGCTTTAAACTGGGTCCACTGTCTCCAATGGGGTCCAGTTTTCTTTTCCTATTTCTGCTTCTTTTCTACTTGTAACTGATGAAATCTGTGTCCCTCCCCCATCTCTTTCTACCAACTTTGTCCACTCCCCCACCCCCCTACCCTCCCACTCCACACCCCCCTGTTCATTTATTCCTTACTAGCTCCGTAAATCTAGAACCAGTCTGGGCATGAAAAGAAACCTGTCAATGTCAAATCCTTTGCTTGTTCCAAAAACATGCAGGGCCATCCTGATGGTGGGGATTTGGCATAAAGCCAAGAGAGGCCCAGCTTGGAAAACAGAGCTTCCTGCTACCTCCTGCTTTTCTAATTAGCATTTCTTAGGGTTCTTGATCTAGAATGTTACCATGCCAGAGAGCACATAAAACTGATTTACAAGTGATTATTCTGTATACCCATTTGTCTGTTTGCAGCGAAATGGGTCTAAAATCCATTACCAGACTCCAATGGAGTTAGGCTTCAGCCCTGTTCATCAGGCTTTTATAACTTGTGGTGCTTTTCCTTATGGCAGTAGAGACAGTGTGTATATCATAAGAACACTGACAGAGCTAAACAATCAATTCATAAGACCCAGTGCAGAGTCAGTCCTCAGTAAACATAGGCAGGCTAAGACATTTATGTCACCAAGATAGCTTCTGGTACATGGGAACTAGTGCTGGCAGACAGGGAGTTGGCTCCTCTGACTCCTTGATGTAGTCCAGGCTTCTTTGCTCTGTCACAGCTGCTGGGAGATGAGACTTGATTTCTCATGCAGGTCAGCCACATACAGTGAGTGGTCTAAGCTGTTTCTGCCACTTCAGAAGACTGTCCTAGTTTTGTTTTGATGTCTAAAGCTTTAGAAAAAGAAAACAATAATGTTTAAAATGTATGAAAATGCTTAGGTAAGGTAGGCTGCTGTCTGGGTAGTAACTAGGGTGACTAACACATTAAGAAAGAAAAAAAAAAAGGAAGCCTTTATGTGTTTATGTTGCCAGCCTCTCAGCACAGTCCCAGGGAGAAGAGGCTAGGTAGGCTACAGGGAGAAGGATATCATTTGGAGGTGAGCGCCTGCACCCCAGACTTCTGGGTAGTTGTTTAGTGCCACACAGCTGATGACAATGAGGGAACAGGGGTCTCTCTTTGTAAAAGGCAGACAAAGGCTAACAGGGTGCCTCCCGAGGTCTGTCCAGCACATTAGACGAGCACTCGCTCTCTGAGGACCTTTTCTGCCCCACATTCTGTGTTAGAGAGACCTGGCATGCCTTCCTCTGTGGGTACAGGGGAAGACAGAATAAATACCACGTGGAAGCCACTGATCCAAAGCTTTGCTAGAGAGAATCCTTAAGAAACCAGGGGGGACCGAAGTGATCAAAAGAATGATAAAAGCAGGATAAAAAGAAAATCAATATTAAAAAGAGATAAGGCGGGCTTAGGAAATGGAAAGTAACTAGCACGTTGCTTTAGTCGGCACAGACACTCGGCACTGGGGACGCTGCAAGCCCTCCCTGCTTTCCCCACAGTGAGCTGTGTGCTGTGCTCGTGTGTCGTGATGCCACCCTCCACAAAGTGTGGGCAGGGGTGGGCTACTGACCCAGGCCACTAACAACAAAATTAAAAACCACTTCCAAATCTAATGGGTGGGCTTTTATCTGAGAGGATAAGGTGACCTGAGAACATGGGACACGTTACGTCCTACATTGTGACTTTGGGTGTGCTGGGCTTCTGGTCCCTCTTTAGAAGAACCAGGGAGTAATGCCACCTCCTCCTCCTGTGGCTGTCCCTATGCAAAGTGCTCAGAAAAGAGCTCAGTGACACTCAGTGCTGTGGTCACTCTCGTGAGTAGAGGACCACAGGCATTTGCTTGCTTTCAAATTCACACCGTGACACGCGAGCGCGCAGAAAGAGTGTCCTGCTCACTGCCGTGAAGTAGAGAGGACTTGCAGCCACCCACCCCCAGTCAGGGTCACTGAGGCCTAGCTTCAAGCCAGTCCCAGAGTGGGGATGGAGTTTAAGCACAAACACTTTGTATCCCCATCCTAAGGCCCAGCCCTCCTGTTTATGGAATTTGTGCTCCAACCCACCCCACATGTCCTCTGAGCCACACCAGATGTGCAGGTCCAGTAAGTGTGGGACAGCGCCTGGTCAAACCAGAGCCTCGTGGACCCACTGGAAATGTGCTGTGATCTGAACAAGAGCAAGCGGTTTGGGGTTCACTAAAGGGAAACACTGCAAAGTGCCTAAGGGAGGCCTTTGTGTGTGACCGACACCGTGTGTGTCTGTGGGACACTCCCAGTTACACCCCTGCAGTCACAGCTGTCCATTCCCTCCTATAGGGAAGTCCCTTCAGTTAGCCACATTCCCTCATCTGCCCGAAACCCTGAGGGTGAGTGAATGCCTTACATGACATGAATTGCCCCTGTGTTTGTGTTCTCCCTCACCATTTTCTATACTTTTCCACACTTTATCATTCTACTTTGCTTCCAGCTCAGGGAAAAAAAAAAAAAGGCAAGTCTATTTGCCCCCTTGTGTGGTCCTCTTGGGACTGTTGGGAGATCTAGACTTCCCAGTTTCTTCATATTGCTGTTCCACCCTCTCCCTCCCTCCCTCAATCCCTTGCAAATTTAAGTTCACCACATTTAGCATCAACTCTTTGACCTAAGTGGATACCTCTTCCAGTCCCTGTTCATGGCTCAGTGTCCTCTCAATCCAGAATGCTCTCTGTAAGTAATAGTTATGATAATAGAAATGTCACTTGTGTGTCATAAGCATTTTCAATGTGTAAATTCTTAACGAACATTTGCATTTACCCTCACAGAGGCATATAACATTACCCTGGGGTCTAACACCAAGTGTGCTCGTCCCCAAAGCCTGTGTTCTCCAGCTCTGGGCAGGAGCAGTACTTGGAGAAGAGCGATGGATTTTCTGGTCATTCAAAGTCCGTGTGACCATTTCCTGCTCTTCCACTGGCCCTTCGAGCTCCAACCCACTCTTTCTTCAGCCTCAGCCTGTTCTGTTTATGTGATTACTTCTTCAGGATGAGTCTGATCACATGACTCTAGTGTTCCCACTCGGCCCCTCTTCAGGTCCACGCCCCTGCTCACAAGGCAGTATCCCTGAAAATGAGCCAGCATGGAGAGTCTGCTGCTCTACGACAGCTTCATATTGTGCCCATCTGGGTCTCCGGGTTTCCCATCTGTAACCCCCTAGGAGGTTCTGTGTGGCCCACTGCCATATCCCATCCCCTCCAGGTGAAGGATATTCTTTTCTTCTAATGACAAATCTCCCTCTTCCCTCACTTATTACCTCACTTATTACAGTATTTATCTGTACTCCTATCCTGTCATAGTCAAATGTTTGCCTGAGTGTCCCCTCCCCATAGCTTGCCACAGGAATAAAGGGATGAGGGATAAAGGGATGAAAATGTCAGTTATGAGTCATGATGTTTAAAGAGCAAGAGGGCATGAGAGTCATAACACCAACACAAGTCAGATGTGAGACAGTAAGGCAGCCTGTTGCTTTCCAGTGCTACTCATCTATGGGGCGCTGCACCCAGGGGAGACACCAGGCAGGAAGGCTGCAGGAAGCCTGAGTATGCAAACATGCTCAGAGGAGAGAAGGCTGGGACCATTTAAACATTCGCTTGACAGTGTTCACAGGGTGGGAGTAGAGGGGCCTTCAAACCTTCCCTCCAGTCAGTATGAGAATAGTTTTTCTAAATAGGAATTAAGGTTTTTCTCCCATCAGAAGTTACAAGTTGGGAGATGAGGTTCCCAAGGGAAATGTAGACTTGTTCATGAGAAACCTTTAAAAATTGGCTGGTCACAGGGTTTTGGGGACAGTCTCTCTAGTCTGCAGCATCTACCATATGCAGTCCACTTCTAAGCATTTTATCATGAGCTAACTACTGTCAGAGTTCAGGGCACCAGATAGATAGACTCACTGCACAGTCTACAATAATTGGAGAAGGGTCTCTAAGATAGGAGGGAATGTCATTGTTGTTACTACTATTATTTCTAGTTTTACATCATGATTGTCTAACCCTTTATAACTGCATAAGGACTTAGAGTCTCTAAAAGGAAATCCAGACAGAACTGTGCATTTTGTCCCACAGTAGCCCCTGTCACCAGGGTTGGTCAGCAGGATGCTAACATGAAGACGGGCACATTTGGTATGGGGTATGCTTGGGTTTTCTTACAAGTATTTGTAAAAATCCTCCCATTTCCCCCTAGGAATAACTCCGGTTTCACACCAGCAGACACAGTGGCTATCATCTTCTGCTCCACACACAAGTCCCTCACGTTGGGTAAGTGACTCACCACATTAGAAACTACCTGTCACCCTAAATAATTCTGAAGCTCAGAAACGTCTCACATGGCGTGGGACCATCCGTTCAGTTGGACAAAGAACAGCAGCCAGGTGCAACCAGCCATTGCTCTGAAGTACTATCATCTCATCAAACCAGTTGCTAAGGGCATAATTAATTCTACAGGATTTAGCTGAATTTGCAGTCATGTCTCTAGTTCTCCAGTGCAAAGTGTAAGCCCAAGTTGGTTAGGGACCTAGGCCTGTTTGTGAAAAAGCTGCTGACACAAACTTGCTTTGGAAGACTCTAGACTTGCACATAAAGGCATTGACTTCTTTTCTGGGAGTTCAAGTGAGGATGAGAATAATGCTATTGCTCTAACTGATGTTAGTTTGGAACTCATCATTTAATATTCATTGTTTTCTACAAAGGCAATTTAGCTATCATGACTTAATTGGATTAACAGTTAAAGTGAAGTATTTTTTATTTAATGGGAAAGATTAAGAATAATAATACTGATGCCTACTTAGGCTTATTCAATTTATTGCATTATCCCAATAACCTCTTAAGACATCAGGAATCCATGTTTTCAGTCGTTAAAACTCATCAAGTAATCAGGAACTGTATTGCAAAATGCATCATTCATAAACTCCTTAGGTTTGTTGGGGTGGTACGTAAAAATTCAAATTAAAAATTCCTCTGCATTTGGAATGTGGTTCACTTGAGAGAATGAAGAATCATAATGTTGCTTTGAATTTGCTCACATTAAAAACATTCCTTCATCAACTAAAAAGTGGATAGATTTCGTGTTTTGATAAGTCCTAAGCAAAGCTGTCTGGTGGGATCTCTGAAATTTTTCTTTTTTAAGTTTGGAAAATAATTTCAAAATTAGATACACTCTTTAAGGAGCAGATCCTATGTACAGATAGAAGTCCACCCCTGAGGTCAATAAGCTGAAGGGGAGAACTCTGGGACCTGCTTTCCAGCCCTGATGACATGTTTCCTGGTACATCCTCAACCTTGACTCTGTCTCTAAAGTGGGCCGATGTCTACTCTGAGCAAGACTGAAAGACAAACTGATCCTAAACAACCAGTCCTGACACAGTGGACAGCAATATGTTCTGTAGAGTTTCTAGAGGCTGTGTGAGATGTGCTCACACAGCCAGCTGTGCTGCTCAGCACTCAATGGCCTCCGTAAAGTAGTGCTGTTATTGCTATTATTACTTACTTTAGTTATGAATGTGTTATTATGCCCAGGGTTCCAGCCACATGTCCCTGTCATAGATTTTCCTGAAATAGCTGTAGACCAACTGTTGACCTCAGAGAATGCATTTCATAATCTGTTCCCCAAGTTTTTATATATGCCATGTATGGTGTTGCAAGTCTTTTTGAAAACTAAGGGATGTGCCCAAGGATCAGAAGGTCAGAGAGGCTCAGATGAGCTATGTGTTAGAGCACATGTTTAACCGTGACTGTCTTGCCTGTCTGCAGTAGGCTATTAAACCTGGAGTCTGACCCTCTCTAAGCAAACAGCAGCTAGTTGAATGCACTGCAGGAAGCACCATGGGCATTCCTTGGGGTGACTGGCATTTCTTTTTCTATTAGCAAATCCATACAAATCCAGGCTGTCTTCCTTTCCCTTAATCCTAGGCTCAGACTCTTTGCTCTTGTGCTTTCTGAAAGCTGATTTGCAGAAATAGTTGTTCTGCTAAAAAGGATTGGACAAACTTGGATTTGTGTTTGCTTATAAAGTTCTCCCAAGAAGTCTGTGCTTGGCTCTTCCAGGATTGTTAAGGCAGTGTGGCAGCTAGTGACAACACAGTGATCGTGAGACGCCGCAGTAGCCTGTGATCACACAGTGTGGCAGCTAGTGACCACACATTATAAAACTTAGCTATTTTATACCCTGACGGACCTAAGCTCTGGTTTCGGCTTCTGCAGGTCTGAGGTGAGAGAATTTTAGTTCAGTTCTACCAGTCCTTGATCCTCCTCAGCTTCCTCCTGAAGTCCCCTTGGTTCACCTCTTTATTCACACACACACACAGGTGATGACCAGAATGAACTTGTAAAACCCGGTAAGTTTGCTCTACCCATTCTCGTAAGATTGATTCCCTTTCCTAGTGGCCTAATGTCCCAAGGGTGGCAGAGAAAGTGCCTTCACAGTGACCTGCCAGTCACTGTGAAAGTCCTTGTTTGTACTGGATTGGAAGAGTGGCACATTCAGTTTGGGGGGGGGGGGGAATCACAGCCCAGAAAATAGACAGAAATTTAGCATAACATCACCCAAGAGATTTTTTTTTTTTTTTTTTTTTGGTCTTTATACACAAAGATGAAAAAACAGATTGTAGTATAGCTGCTTGGCACTTTAGAAATATATCTCTTCTTGTGGCAAATACTGTCATAATATTTCTTCCAATTATTTAACATTCATACACACACACACACACACACACACACACCAAGTAAAATACATTAAGGGAAACTTAGAAATTACACCTAGTTTATGTTTATTATTACACCTAGTATATGTTTAAAAATAGCCCATTGCAGGCCAGGTGGTACCTAAATGACTGGTGGGTCTTGGGAAGCATCCTCACTACCCTTTGGTTTATTTTATTGTTCTTGCCTCACCCTGTCTGGGTCTTTTCCATGTGCTCACATCTACACATGTGCTGAATTTGATTCATTGCTTTTATTAGCGCATTTGCCATTGATTGATTAGTTCTTCGTATTAGTACTTTTTCTATTGATTGATTGCAGATGAAGTGACTATTTGACCTTTAATTATGAGGCTTCCTATTGAAAATGACATTGAGCTATGGCTTCACATAATCCATCGGGAAGGTCTGGTGATGCCATTCCCTGGAGTTTGTGCACTAAGGAAGGAAGCCTGGAGGAAGTGCAGAGCCATCGCTGCTGCTGCGCTTCATCCAAAACAATACTACAGGGCTTGTCTGCCATGCTCCTCTGTCTCTGACTGGGGGGAGGCAATTTCAACATAGCAGCCCTTGCTGTAGGTTGCCATAGAAGCCAGGAACTCTCGCCTACTATTCTCCAGTTTGATGGTGATATTAGTGTAATAATGAGAAGATATTTTGCACAGCAGAGATTGAAGAGCAGCTTGTAGCCTAGGAACAGCTCAGTGCAGTCAATAGCTTTTATCAAGAAAGAGGTTAGATCTCAGATATGCCTTGGATTTGGTATTTTACTTTTATTTATCTTTTTCTCTTGAATATTCATTTCACTTTGTGTTTCTAGAGTTTCAACATATGTAGAAAAGTTTCTTGCCACACCCAGGAAGGGAATGGTTCGGGATGTTTGAGATCCTTAAGTCGAGCATGCATTTGTATCAGTTTGTAATTTAAGTGGCAAAGTGAAAGGACATCATCTCAGATGAGTCAGCTATTGGCAGTCAATAATAGTAGTCCCGATTTTTTATTTGTAAAAGCATTTCTAAATTGAATGCACTCCATTTAAAATTTAAACAGAGTGTCACAGTCAATGGCTTATAAATACCACTCATAGACACTTGTATAAAAAGGCAAGTAACAGCAGCTCCCTCACCTTATCCACACTTCACTATGAGCCTGTGCCACTGCTGAGCTGTGGTAAGATGCTAGAAGAATGGAGCTTTTAGGATTCAAGAGAGAGCGGGGAGAACACATGCCTGATTCCAGGCTAGATCCCAGTTCCACTTCTGGCTCCAGTTCTCAGCAAAAGCTGGAACAGATTGTGCCGCTGAGGAAGTTTCGTGACCCCATTGATGCAGTTGAGAAGATGCACATGGCGCCTGGCTTCTACCAGCATAATTAAAGGTCTGTTTCTGAAGTTCCCTCCATATAATAAATTTTCCTCTTGGGTGTACAAAGTAAAGTTCTTGAAAGGAATGGTGTCTCACTGTTATACAGAAAGAAGCACAGCTGTGGCTGCTGTCTGAAGAGGTTAAGAGGACAGCATCCTCACAGGGCTGGGGAAGGTGCCTTAGTAGGTAAAGCCCTTGCCTTCGAGCTTGAGGACCTGAATTTGAGTTCCAGGACCCATGTAAAGCTGGGTGCTGTGGTGTGCATCTGTAATCCAGTACTCCTGTGGTGAGATGGATGCAATATAGAGACAGGAGAGCCCCCAGGAGCCACTGGACCAGCTTTCAGGGCACTATCAAAGGTTGTTCTGATTTATGTATGCTCAGTGGTGTGCACACATACCCCTCACACACATGCACACACCATGTGCATCACACACACACACACACACCATGTGCATCTCTCTCTCTCTCACACACACACACACCCCATATGTATCTCTCTCTCTCACCACACACACCATGTGCATCTCTCTCTCTCTCACACACACATACACACACACCATGTACATTTCACACATACACACACACACACATACACACACACACACACACCATGTGCATCTAACACACACCAAGATTTTTTTTCTAATCCTCACACTGTGCAAAGAGAAGAAAGTCACAAAGGGATCTTTTATATCACTTTAATTGGGAGCTTTTCGAGAATGGTAAAGAATGAGCTTCAACTAGAACTGAAAACATGGATAGCAGTTTGACACTTTCTTGAGAATATGTAAAATCAGAAGAGAAGCTGCAGTTCTGGTTATCCTCCACCCCAGAGCTCTCTGGGCCTCTATTTCAAACACGCAGATTATTCTAACTACCACAGAGCTGGGCAGCTCTCTGTAAAGCAGTGGTCTGTCGTGTGTGCCTGTTCTTTATTTTTTACATTGGAAGAAAGGAAGGAAGGAAGGAAGGAAGGAAGGAAGGAAGGAAGGAAGGAAGGAAGAAAGGAGGCATACTTTAACCAAGTACATTTCTCAGAGTTTTGTGGGTTGTTTTGTCTTTCTGCCCAAGACTTGATGTCACTGGTAGTGTTTCTAGGTTTTGTGACCAAAATTTAGGAAACCCCGGGGTTCTGTGTCCCAAGCATGACATTGGAGATAAGGGAGCTTGTGTGTGTTTCTGCTTCAAGTATTGC